TTTAAAGCCCAGCTCCTCATCCATCAATGAGATGCTTTCATTTGCTAGCATATTCCTCCAAACTGCAGGAAAAGCTTCCCCAAAACCATTAATAATAAAAGAAGAGAGCCTTCACAGACCAAATGGACAAAGGGAAAGCGGAGAATGATTCTCATAAACTTCTTTTTGTTTACAAGATCCCCTCCAAGAATAATTATGGGAGACAAATGCTGCCGTGACTTTTGATCTTTTATTGAAGAATAATTTAGGACAATTTTTAGTGCACGAAAATAACCTCTTTTTTTGCCATCCAGCTCTGAGGAGATAATACATTACAGGGGAGCGTGGCTGGGAAAATAAAATTAGGAGGCAGTAAACCTGTCCGGTTGACAGGGGGAAATCTAGCAAGGAAAGGATTTCTCCTTTGGAAACTGCTAAAGAAACAGATATCGGTGATGCAAAGGAAGGGGCTTCCACTTTTTCCCCACCCTTTCGGCTGAGCTGGAGTGGACCCCGGCCAGGGAAGTGCCCGGTACCTGTGGGGCAGCGGGGCCAGGGGTGGCAGGGCCCAGCACCAGCGAACCCCGGCTTCACCAGGTTCCTCTGCTGGGTTCCCTGCAAACGGCAGCAAATTTGCCTGGAGCTCGAACCTGTCCTGCGGATGAGCTCTGTGTTTAGAAGCATTATTCCAAAAACGTTTTGTTTGCACGCACTGAAGCGCTTTATCAAGAAGACTCAGAATTGCCTTTGAAATATGAGAGTCCTAAAAAATCTCTGGCTGTTAGAAGGAGCTGTATTTTCTTCACTCTGTCAATTGGCATTTAAATGTGAACTATCTCAAATCCTTCCATAGGAAACACAATTAAAGTGTCATTAAGAAAACATTTTTCTCATATCCTTTTCTGTAATAAACCAGTCAGGCTCAGTGTTTCCGCGCTGTGCAGTGCTGAAACACATGGTAAATCCGTGGCCATTTAACACACTAATTGGAGCAAACGGGATTCAAATCAGGAACTGGATTTCAAGTACTGCTCCTTTTCACTCCAGCCATGTCAATATTTTCAGGTGTGTCACGTTCAGAGTAACTCAAAAAGAGATATACTTTGTAGTAGTAAAAAAAAAAAAATTCTTTCCTTTCTCCAAGATGTATTAATAATAAAACGTTAAAAGTCACTTTCTTGTTTGAGGGAAAATATTCTCACCTAAGTTATGGAAACTCTTTGGGAAACTCTTTTTGTTGGTGGTTTTGATCTTTTAGCTTGCCAAGAACAGGGACCCTCTGAATTCTCAGCAAAAGTTAGAGAGACTTTGTTTTTAGACGACAAATAGTTTGTTTTACCATCCTTTTGCAGTGGCATCTTCTCCATTTGAAATAAGCAGCATGTTGTTTTCTCTCTGGTAACATTGTTTTCTTGCTGCTTTCCCACTTGTAGCTCCGTGCCTTCACTGTCTCAAGCGAGAAGATCGCGAAGATGTGGAAAAAACTCACAGGGAACTCCAGGCACCCGCTGCTGAGCTGGGAGAGGAAATACAAAGAAAAGGATTTGCCCAGAGTTGATGAACAAAGGAAGAAATTAAAGAAAGACAGGCTGAGGTGAAATTTCTACAAGGTAATATTTCCACTGAACTAAATCCCGGGGGAAAGACCAGGTGAATCATGTGAGATTCCCACCCCCCCTTTATTTTTCTGAGACCAAAACGCTTGTGTTTTGCCACCTCATCAGGTTGTTTAGTCAACAGGGATTGTGATAACCTACAAAATTTTACAGCCATTAACAAATCCGTTAACTCTCATCGAATTAGCTTTATGGCCGCTCAAAGGGAGCTCACTTTCCTCCTGTCTGATTTTAAGAGATACCTCACGCACACCGTTGTTTGGCAATCCTGTGTGAAAGGGCTGTAGACTCACAATATAGAACTCACATTCCTCTCGTTCTCAGAGATGCTCTGCCAAGGTATCACAAGGGTGAAAATACTCCACAAGGCTGTAGATCCTCAAACAGAGATTCTTGCCACAGGCTCTGGGGCCAAACCCTGCCCTCCCTGGGACCCTTCAGCTCTCAGGTAGGAGCTCCTACCCTAGGGTCTGAGCCCAAACCCTCTGGAAACTCACACAAGCTTTTGGCCAAGCCGCAAGACAGACAGCAGGTGCCCAAAAAAAAAGTCTTCCCACCTTTACCAGAGACCTAGTTCCCCAGACAGGGGCAGAGTCAGCTCCCACCGTATCCCTGAGACATCTCAGGTCTTGGTGACCCGTCCCCAGCAGACCCTTGTTCCCTCCATCACCTCACGGGGTCGGCCACGGAGCTGCCCTAGGTATCAACCCAGGTGTTGTCTCCTTCGGATCTGCTTTGGATTTGCCTTGTGGTTCTGTCTTCTTTCTTTTCAATGGGAACACGTGCGGGTTTTGCAATAAGCCCTTTTGCAATATTTCTGGTTTGCATCACATTTTGATTTGCTCTGCTAACAGAAGGCTTTCAGAAAAGACTTTTGTTATTGCTGCTGAGACAGAGTTCAGCTTGCTGTTACCTATAGCCATCTCCCCTGTCTTGGCTGCAGGCAGAATCAAAACAGCCTTAACTTTGCTCATTTTTAAGTCTGGATCACTTGCTGTCGGATATACTTTTACATATAAAAATACAGATTTCTGTAGTGTATAACAAGTAATGTATATGTGTGCATTTTATACTTTATAGAAATACTTTTTTTTATTATTTTAAATATGTATATCTCCCTTTTTCCCCCCTGCCTCAGTTTTTAGGGTTGTACTGAGTTTGCAGGATTGTACCTTGTCACACAGGCCCCCCAGGCAGAGTAAATGAACTATCCACCCTCCCGGAAGGGCTGACCTGTGCTCTCTGCACTGAAAAGCAGCTCCTGCCTTGCTTGGTGTGTCCTCCCTGGCCCAGTGCTTTTTCTTTTTTAACCCCAAATAATTTTTCAAAGCAGCCTGCTGGCTGGCAGCACTGAGTGCTGGCCTTCGTGAGGGCTGGCCGGGATGCAGAGACCCAGGCTTGACCCCATCTCTGGTCCTCAGGCCAAGCTGGGCCCATCTTTGGGTGAATTCATTTCAGGCTGAACTTTGTGTGAACCTGGGCCCGAGGGGAAGGGAACCCGACAGAGCAAGGCTGATGGAGGCAAGTTGTGAGCAAACCCATCAGCCTGAGTAAATATTGAACAAGTCCATGTGAAGGCTGGGGTTGAAATGGAGCTGTCAGACCAGTGTAAACTGAAAGGATAGGTGAGGCCTCTGAAGAGCAAGGAAACATTTTGTACACTCACTTCTGCAATTGTTTCTTCCACCCCAGCCCTTTGCCCCAGACCTGATCTCACCTGCCTGAGTGGCTAAAGCAGCCCTGAAGCTGATAGGTGCTGAAATATCTGTGTTGGTGGAAGAGAATGGCTGGGGGGCAGAGGGGTGAGCAAGGGGATGACACCTTGGGGTGGCCCTTTCATCATTAGAGCCGGAAGCGTTATGGCTGGGGTGGGACATGAGACGGCAGATCGGAGGTCCCCAACTTAAATCCAGTTGACCTATGCAGCATCAATCCTGAAAAACGAATATATTATATATTTGATACAAATACAAGTGAAGCACATTGTCTATAAATATATAAAACCCAAATAAAGGTGTAAATGCCCAGCTCCCAGGGTCTGATCCGACCGTGGTGCCGGGGCCATGGCAGTGGAAGTCCCCGGGGATGGGACTTGCTGTCGGGTGTGGGAGCACTGCTGCCCAGTGGGGATCTGAGGGCAGCCGCGCCCACCCAGCGCTTCCCAAGGCTGCAGGTCTTTTGCCTGGTTCTCCAGGGATTTTAGTGACACCCAAAAACGTGTTCATGTCAAAATGTTCAGGAAAATTAGCAGGCGTGAAAATCCTTCCTAGTTTGCCTGATTTAGGGTGCATCAGCTCCCTTGGCAATGTTGGTGCGTAAGCAGGTGCATGGGCACCTTGCTGCCTTGGGGCCACTCACAGAAGGTGAATCAAATTCTGTTTCGGTTCTGATTTGCTCAGTGTGTGACAAAAGTGTCTCATCTTGTCCTGCTCTGTTTTTTTGCTGAGAGCTGGGGAAGAGGTGGCCCCTGACTAGTTTTTTTGGTGTGAAATGAGTTTGGAGAAACCCAGAAGGCTTCCTCCCCTCTTCTTCTCCACTTCAAGGCATCAAAGGCTTTCAGGGGCTGGCAATAGCCCGCCCCAGCCACAGTACAGTCGCTGAGAGGTGGTTTTGTCCCCAGAGACCCCCAGGAACACTTCACACCTTCAGTGCAAAGAGGCTCCAGGAGCAGAGTTAATAGCAGCCAGTAAAGTGGAGTTGAAAGTAAGGAAGTCTTCAGGGTATTATTATTATTATTTTTTAATAGAATGTCCTCTTCTGAGATCAAAAGGGCCTCACATCGTGAGAACAAATGCTTTAGGGAGAGGAGAAACATTTCACACCGAGGGGTAAGGAACAGATGGCCCTGGCGTAGCTGCCACGCCAGGCCGGAGCGCCGGGTGTGCTCCTCGGGTCTCCGCTCCGGGAGCAGAGCTGGCAGAGAGGAGCTCTGGGCATCCCATCCCCTCCTCCCGCAGAGGGACAGCAGCCCCAGTGCTGCCACTGCCATTAATAATTTACATGGTTACATTTCTTTAAATGGGAATTTCCCCTTCCTTTGGGATATTAAAAGAATAAATCTCCATTACGACGTGGCTTTGTGTGCGAGTGTACAGGGGGACTTGGCTAATTTTCCTGCTCATGAAAAATGCAATACCAGGGACCCGTGGACAGACACACATGGAGACGTGGGAATATACCAGATTATGAATAACCACGTCGTTGAGTACCATTTATACAAAACAAAGGAGTGTGTCTAGACCTCATATTTGTGATAAAGCCCGACTACGGCGATAGGACTAAGTCTCGATAGGGACTTCTGCACGCGGGTCTGCAGAAACTCGCGTGTGCCTCGTTCAGTGCAGCCTGTGCCGACGTGCTGCGGTAAGGAGCACGCATCCGTGTCCCGTATGAATACATAGGTACCTCCATGGGTACTGAAGTACTGGTGCCCGCTCTTTATCTGCTTCTCTGGGTGTGGGGTGCACACGGGTGTCCCTGAGCGCTTCCCAGCAGCATCTGCTGCCCCCCAGCGGCGGGATCTTGGCGTGGCCTTTCCAGCCGGCTCCTGCTTCACAGCGGTCGGTTTCGGGCTCCTGAGGCAAAAGGGAGCGTGAGAAACTTGGAGGGAGAACGAGGGGGGTGGGGGAGGAAGAGATTATCTGTGTGCGGTGATCGTCGTTAAAGAAACGCGGCTTGGCAGCGTGGGGGGCACAGGCAGCGGGCTGGGGGGAGCCCGGGGGGGGTTACATATGTAAGGGC